AACTCCTGTAGTAGATAGCCAAGAGGACTACTACCTCTTCCACGTTCAGAGGTATACGAGTACCGGAAATTATCGACGTGGTGAAACTGTCGTCCATTATCAGAGTTGCCTTCTGAAGATCGATCTAAATATGTATGAACAAAAAAAGAAAAAAATATTATGTAAATAATTGAATAATAATAATTATTATTAATTTTTGCGTCAATAGTGCAAAGTTTAATTTTTTACATCAAGTATACGTCATATACATTGAAACGTACGGGGGAGAGAGAGAAAAAAAATGTGCATGTGGAATTTTTTTTTGAAAATTTCTGGCGCGCGACTCTACCTAGCTACAGCTATAGAGATAACAGTAGATAACACAAAAAAAAACGGCGGTGTCACGAAGCAGAGCAAGCGCCGTCTATCAGTCTGTATGTTAAGTTAAGTTTTGTAAGAGCTATTGTTGGAGAGAAAAAAATGTAAAATTAATTTTAAAAAGTATTTAATTATTTATTGAACGTCTAAGTCAGTAACTTGATAAGCTTTACAGGTGTAGTCAAAGTATTTGGAAAAAGCTCATCCCAAGCTGTGTGTGAATTCATCAAAATCAAATGAAAAAAATAAAAATGTCACACTTGAGGTTACGAGACAATGTTGAGGTTAAGAGTCCAGAGTGTCCTGCAGACAGCGACGGCAAAAAAAAAATAGCAAAGGTGCCGAGTTTACCGAGACTAAGACATCCGGTGACAGTAAAGCACTGCTGCGTTAAGGGCTGCAAAAGTAACAGCAATAATCGCACTTTGCATTTTTACGTTTTCCCGTCGCCCGAACCCATCAACAGCACCAGGCGCAAACTATGGATACAAGCTGTTATTAGCAACTGGTAAGATTCGTGTTGAACAATAAAATTATACATTATAGACAAGTATTTGTGGTCAAAACAAAAATGCTCGCCACAAAAAAAAATAAGATTTTAAAGTTCAACCGAAATTTTAAAAAACGATNGTATTTTAATAAACAGTTTTAAATAAACTGTTTGGCTTCGTAACATCACTTATTTCTATCTTTTAAAAAAAATTTTTTAAAGTTAACTTATTTTATAACCATTTTTAAAAAACAATTTTTACCCTTCCTAGAAAATAAAGGGTTACCGTTATAACCAGTGAATGCGTGAAAAACTGCTTAAAAGTTACGAAGCCTCGTACCCATGGCATTAAATAAGGGGCATACATCTATAATTTTTATATTATTTCTGGTGCCAAGCTACATCCAGGTTTATCTATCAGTTACTATAATATTTTCATCAGGATCTGTTGAAAGATGTTTCATATGAGACAATATAATAACTAATATGTTGGAGTTCAAAAACTTCAGCAGTACATTGCTGGCTTGAGATAATTTACAAACGTAAAACACAATCCTCGTACCAGCTGCTTCATATCCAGCATATGTCAATTTATCTGATCTTTCACTGACAGTGTAATCTGCCACTTTTCTATAACTGTATCATATGTGGTTATTTAATTAAACCTTTTGTGTAGCTTTTATTATTGATGTACTGCTTGGTGTTGCCCAGTCATTGATTAAGAAGCTTACGAAAGCTTGCTTAAATTTAATGTTTTTTTTTAACTATGTTAAAAAGTCACTTGCTCTTTGAGTTGCTGACCCTTTAACTCTGTGATTTACATCCCTACAATTTTTTGCAGTTTGTGATGATGATCCTTTGTACTAGGTTCTGGATACATGTCAAATATAGTATGAATTTCTTCAGCCTGGTGATTGCATCAGTCTTTTAAAAGGAATTGATCAATACAACCAAATGTTGGGGAAAATCATTGCAATGTATATAAACAGAAAAAACCATCTCTAACAGTTTTATCAAATTATTTAGAAACCACTCGGCCACGAATGTGTCGTTCCAATATGTGAGCCACCAATTTGGAGCTTTCTGTCTTATCGATGGAACTAGAATCAATGGAAACCGCAAACCTTCTTAAATTAATTTCTTTTTGGCGAGAGATGCCTTATAATTTACCAAACATGTCTCTTTGAGCTTAAACTTCCTCAACTATACCACGTATCATTTTTTTAAAAGTTTTATTGTTGAAAGTTAGAATTTCAAATTTTTTCATAGACTTTTTTCATTCTCTTTGATTGACCATGCATTCTTCTAAAAGCTAATACTTTTACTTTTCACCAAGTGTTATCACGTTTAATAAGAATGACTTTCAGAAAAGAAGAATCATTTTTGCTCCACAATTTTCACAATACTGTCATTAGCACCATATTAGTGAAAACCACATTAAAATTCTTGTTGCAAAAATATCTTACGAAAACTTATCTTTTATATCTTTTATATCTTAATAAAAAAACGAAAACAAATCAACTCCTAGTGCGCAATCGATATCATCACGCTATACATTACAAGGGAATCAATGAAAATCGTCCAAAGTCGCTTCAAATCTGAAGCACAAGACCAGCACTGGAAATGTTATCGCCGCCACCGGCTGTTTGACTGGCTTCGGTGCAAACGAGTACAGGTGCAACGCACACGTCAACCTCGATGCGTTTTCCCAACACATGGAAAGTCTCGTTCCAGCAGGCCACCGGTTCTTCCACGTTCAGAGGTATACGAGTACCGGAAATTATCGACGTGGTGAAACTGTCGTCCATTATCAGAGTTGCCTTCTGAAGATCGATCCGATTAGTACTACAAACATGTCTATGGGCAGTGAGGGAAGCTTTAGCTGCGGCAGCCATGGTATTCTTCCAAGATGATCCTTTAACAGTCAAAATAGCCTGATAAGCCAGGGTGTGCACGTGAATCCTGGTAAGTGTCCTGGCACCTTTAATACTCTCTCCTCTTGTTCTTATGAGCTTGAAAAGTTCACGTATCTGATCGAGAACAATAGCTACTCTTGGAGTAGAATTTGCAACAAGTGAAATATTTCCGTAATAAAGTGAATTGTGCAGGTTCGTAATCTCCTGCTCGTTCATGCCTAAACTGTCAGCATACGGAACGATAAGTTCGTTTAGATCTTTGACAAGATCAGCTTCGACAAAAGAGGCCATTTCAAAATGGATTCTCGTCGATTGAGGCTGACTGCGCATTTGTTCGTGAATTTTTTTCAAACGAATTAAGCGCTTGCCTTCTTCAAATGGATAACTGTCCATCATTTGTATACCACTTACAATTAAGAGATCAGGTTTGAATGTTGGCAGGATTTTTTGGAGATCTTCCAGTCCACTTGCTTCTGGATTATGCTTGTCGTTATGTATAATATACCTGTTGTGCAAAAAACAAACCATTGTTATAATAACTTTTGCCAAAATCGCGTAAATAATAATAATATTAATAATATAAAATGATGACCTGTTTGCTCTGGGACTTTTGTAAGGTCCCCAAGTCTCTCCCTTCTTATACTCAAGAACCAAATGTATATCATCTCTGTCGGTCTGTATGTTAAGTTAAGTTTTGTAAGAGCTATTGTTGGAGAGAAAAAAATGTAAAATTAATTTTAAAAAGTATTTAATTATTTATTGAACGTCTAAGTCAGTAACTTGATAAGCTTTACAGGTGTAGTCAAAGTATTTGGAAAAAGCTCATCCCAAGCTGTGTGTGAATTCATCAAAATCAAATGAAAAAAATAAAAATGTCACACTTGAGGTTACGAGACAATGTT